GAGCAAATGAAGGGTAATTAAATTGATCACTTACCAAGCTGTGAAAGCAAATAGAGAATAACTCCTTTTCTAAATTTCCAGCCAATAAACGTGTAAATCCCACTTTTAATATAAAGTCTGGTCATGGCAGTCCCAATGTGCGGGCTGACTTTGAGTAAGTTTTGTTTATATAAATTATGATGTTTTTTTTTTAATTAATCCAATTCTCTTTAGATTTATGCGCCGCGGTGTTGTGGGCTCTCATAAAGATGAATTAACTCCCGAAATTCAAAAGAAATTAGATAACTGGATAGCTGAGCATTTGAAAAAGTTCAATATTAAATTAGAGGATATTTTTGGCAGCATTTAAAACGTAGAAAACAAAGAACTTTCAACAGATTTATATAGAAAATACAATAAATTCGTTATAAAACCTAGCGATGAAAAAGTAACAGATCACTGATCAATCGTTGAAAATATATATCGATCAACTAACAATTATACTCTAATCGTTGATAATCCTTCACTGATAATTGATAATAATTGTTAATAGATTCTTTATAAATGAAAGTTTAAATCCATTGATCGTTGATCGTTAATCCTCTATAAATTTTTCACAGAATATATTTTTATTATCGTTCCTCAAATATCAATGACTACTGATCGTTTTTGCAAATTCTCATAAATAGTTATATTTCACTGTTCTATAGTAAAAGAACATTGATTGTTCATCAATTTTCTACAGAAAATTAACACTGATCTTTCATCAGTTTTCTACATAAATATTCACTGATTGCACATCAGATCTGTTTATAAAAGTTTACCTGGATCGCTCATCAAATCTTTTCAATGGTCTATAGAAAAAGATCGCCAATTGTTCAATAATTTTCTACAGTAAGGGATCAATGATCGTTCACCAGTTTTCTATTGAAAATATTCAATGAATGCACATCAGCTTATCAATTTTCTATAAAAAATATTCACCGATCGTTCATCAATTTTCTATAGAAAAGTTTCACAAATCATTCATCAATATTCTCTGGAAAGTATCAGTGATCGTTCATCGATTTTCTATAGATAAAATTCACTGATCTTTCACCCATTTTCTCTAAAAAGTATTCACTGATCGTTCATCATTTTACACTGATCGTTCATTAATTTCTACTGAAGAATTTCACAGATTGTTCACCAATTTTCAATAGAAATATTATATTTCAATTTTCAATTATAATATCAATTTTCTATAGAAAACATTCACTGATCATTCGTCATATTCATACATCGTATTCTATAGAAAAGATTTATTGATGGTTCATCAAATTTCTATAGAAAAAATGCAATGCTCGTTTATCAATTTTCTATAGAATATATTCACTGATCCTTCTTCAATTTCTATAAAAACATTCACTGATTAATTTTCTATAGGATAAAAATTTGCTTATCGTTCATGCATTTTGTATGGAAAGATTTACTGATCGTTAGTTAGTTACTTAGTTAGTTAGTTAGGCTAGTTTAGTTAGTTAGTTAGTTAGTTAGTTAGTTAGTTTGTTAGTTTTGTTAGTTCGTTAGTTAGTTATTAGTTCGTGTAGTTAGTTAGTTAGTTCGTTAGTAGTTAGTTAGTTAGTTAGTTAGTTCGTAGTTAGTTAGTTAGTTACGTATTTAGTTAGTTTAGTTAGTTAGTTAGTTAGTTAGTTAGTAGCGTTAGTTAGTTTAGTTAGTTAGTAGTTAGTTAGGTAGTAGTTAGTTAGTCGTAGTAGTAGTCGTAGGTAGTTATCGGTTAGTTAGTTAGTTAGTTAGTTAGTTAGTTAGTTAGTAGTTTAGTAGTTAGTTAGTTAGTTAGTAGTTATTTCGTTAGTTAGTTAGTTAGTTAGTTAGTTAGTTAGTTAGTTAGTAGTTAGTTAGTTAGTTAGTAGTAGTTAGTTAGTAGTTAGTTAGTTAGTTAGTTAGTTAGTAGTAGTTAGTTAGTTAGTAGTTAGTTAGTTAGTTAGTTAGTAGTTAGTTCGTTAGTAGTTAGTTAGTTTGAGGGAGTTAGAGGAGTAGTGAGGGAGAGTAGGGAGTAGTAGGGAGAGTAGAGAGTTGGAGTTAGTAGAGTTAGTTAGGGAGGAGGAGGGAGGGAGGGAGGGAGGGAGGGAGGGAGAGGAGGGAGGAGGAGGGAGGAGGGAGGTGAGTAGGAGGGAGGGAGGGAGTGAGGGAGGGAGGGAGGAGTGAGGGAGGGAGGAGGAGGAGGGAGGGAGGGAGGAGGGAGGAGGGAGGGAGGGGAGGAGGGAGGGAGGGAGGGAGGAGGAGGGAGTGAGGGAGGGGAGGGAGGAGGGAGGGAGGGAGGGAGGGAGGGAGGGAGGGAGGGAGGGAGGGAGGGAGGAGGGAGGGAGGGAGGGAGGGAGGGAGGGAGGGAGGAGGGAGGGGAGGGAGGGAGGGAGGGAGGGAGGGGAGGGAGGGAGGAGGGAGGAGGAGGGAGGAGGAGCGCGCGCGGGGCCGCCGCCGCCGGGGGGGGGAGAGAGAGAACGAACGAACGAACGAACGAACAACGAACGAACGAACGAACGAACGAACGAACGAACGAACGAAAGAACGAACGAACGAACGAACGAACGAACGAACGAACGAACGAACGAACGAACGAACGAACGAAACGAACGAAGAACGAAGAACGAACGAACGAACGAACGAACGAACGAAACGAACGAACGAACGAACGAACGAACGAACGAACGAACGAACGAAAGAACGAACGAACGAACGAACGAACGAAAGAACGAACGAACGAACGAACGAAAGAACGAACGAACGAACGAACGAACGAACGAAACGAACGAACGAACGAACGAACGAACGAACGAAGACGAACGAACGAACACGAACGAACGAACGAACGAACGAACGAACGAACGAAGAACGAACGAACGAACGAACGAACGAACGAACGAACGAACGAAAAACGAAGAACGAACGAACGAACGAACGAACGACAAACGAACGAACGAACGAACAAACGAAAAACGAACGAAAAGAACGAACGAACAACGAACGAACGAACGAACGAACGAACACGAAACGAACGAACGAACGAAAACGAACGAACGAACGAACGAACGAAACGAAGAACGAACGAACGAAACGAACGAACGAACGAACGAACGAACGAACGAACGAACGAACGAACAACGAACAAGAAACGAACGACGAACGAACGAACGAACGAACACGAACGAAAACGAACGAACGAACGAACGAACGAACGAACGAACGAACGAAACGAACGAACGAACGAACGAACGAACGAACGAACGAACGAAAGAACGAACGAACGAACGAACGAACGAACGAACGAACGAACGAACGAACGAACGAACAACGAACGAACAAAAGAACGAACGAACGACTAACTAACGAACTAACGAACGAACGAACTAACTAACTAACTCACGTAACTAACTACATAACTAAACAAACTAACAATAACTAACTAACTAAACTAACTAACTAACTAACTAACTAACTAACTAAGTAACTAACGATCAGTAAATCTTTCCATACAAAATGATTGAACGATCAGCACATTTTTGTCTATAGAAAATTAATCAGTGAATGTTTTTTATAGAAAATTGAAGAAGGATCAGTGAATATATTCTATAGAAAATTGATAAACGAGCATTGCATTTTTTCTATAGAAATTGATGAACCATCAATAAATCTTTTCTATAGAATACGATGTATGAATATGACGAATGATCAGTGAATGTTTTCTATAGAAAATTGATATTATAATTGAAAATTGAAATATAATATTTCTATTGAAAATTGGTGAACAATCTGTGAAATTCTTCAGTAGAAATTAATGAACGATCAGTGTAAAATGATGAACGATCAGTGAATACTTTTTAGAGAAAATGGGTGAAAGATCAGTGAATTTTATCTATAGAAAATCGATGAACGATCACTGATACTTTCCAGAGAATATTGATGAATGATTTGTGAAACTTTTCTATAGAAAATTGATGAACGATCGGTGAATATTTTTTATAGAAAATTGATAAGCTGATGTGCATTCATTGAATATTTTCAATAGAAAACTGGGTGAACGATCATTGATCCCTTACTGTAGAAAATTATTGAACAATTGGCGATCTTTTTCTATAGACCATTGAAAAGATTTGATGAGCGATCCAGGTAAACTTTTTATAAACAGATCTGATGTGCAATCAGTGAATATTTTATGTAGAAAACTGATGAAAGATCAGTGTTAATTTTCTGTAGAAAATTGATGAACAATCAATGTTCTTTTACTATAGAACAGTGAAATATAACTATTTATGAGAATTTGCAAAAACGATCAGTAGTCATTGATATTTGAGGAACGATAATAAAATATATTCTGTGAAAAATTTATAGAGGATTAACGATCAACGATCAATGGATTTAAACTTCATTTATAAAGAATCTATTAACAATTATTATCCATTATCAGTGAAGGATTATCAACGATTAGAGTATAATTGTTAGTTGATCGATATATATTTTCAACGATTGATCAGTGATCTGTTACTTTTTCATCGCTAGGTTTTATAACGAATTTATTGTATTTTCTATATAAATCTGTTGAAAGTTCTTTGTTTTCTACGTTTTAAATGCTGCCAAAAATATCCTCTAATTTAATATTGAACTTTTTCAAATGCTCAGCTATCCAGTTATCTAATTTCTTTTGAATTTCGGGAGTTAATTCATCTTTATGAGAGCCCACAACACCGCGGCGCATAAATCTAAAGAGAATTGGATTAATTAAAAAAAAACATCATAATTTATATAAACAAAACTTACTCAAGTCAGCCCGCACATTGGGACTGCCATGACCAGACTTTATATTAAAAGTGGGATTTACACGTTATTGGCTGGAAATTTAGAAAAGGAGTTATTCTCTATTTGCTTTCACAGCTTGGTAAGTGATCAATTTAATACCCTTCATTTGCTCAAATGATAATGTTTTTCCAATTGTTGAAGTTGTGCCTCACTTAGTTCAGGTCTCTCTAAAATTGGTTGAGATTTATTAAAACTGTCCTCAAATCTCCCTTCATATCTTCATAGGTGGTAAAGAATATATTGTGCTCCTTACGCATACGCCAAAAATCCATAATATGCTCCCAATAGGGACAATACATAATATCGTTATTGATCAAATCCTCTACGAATTCATTAATATCACCCTGCCAGGTGCCTAGACCACGATGAAAGTGGAAATAGGAGACTACCATGTCTTTGGGGTTGCGAGCACAGTAGACAATCTGGAAACAAAGAAAATTAGGATTGTGATAAAAAGAGCTTTTGTGTCCATGATTCTAAAGGGTCAAGTTAACCAGTATTGGGTTCATATTTGAATTATTTGCAATTATTCTTAATGCGTATAGTTCTCTTTCAGTTTACTAATCAGTGAGAGCTTTTCAAAAGCTTTTTTTAATCATTTTAACAGTGATTTTGCAAAAATTTGAAAACTTTTCCTTTATTCACCTTCGATTTCTTTTGCCAAATTGTTTGGGTATTAAATGGGCCGGTAGATGGGTTTTAAGAACTCTGGGTGAAGCAGCCTGTTCCGCCAAATCAATGGTATTCTTGGGTATATCGGTTGTACAAAGCACTTAAGCTAAAACAAAGAAAATTGAAAGCATAATTCCCAAAAATCCTTCAAATCTCTTACTTACTCCATAAAAACACTACGAAAAGGCAAATCTTCTGCATTGGCCTTGGTAAAATCCAAATTATTTACCAACAGCCAACAGGCCTCTTGTATCCAGGTAGTGCCACATTTTGGAAATGTCACCACATAAAGATCATCATCTTTTACCTCAAATTCATACAGTCTTTTGAAATATGCCTCCGAAATGGGTAAAGAACACCAACGTTCCTGCCAGTTCTCCACTCCAAAGGTATATTTGCACCATTTGCTGTTATTTCCAGAAAAGGGCGATTTTGACGTTTGTCTATGTTAAGCGAGGAACGTGTACGCACTGTAAACATTTCCATTAAACTAAAATAATAATTGTAAAGTTTTATATAAAAATATTAAACAACAAAAATGAATAGTGTATTATAGATTATTTTTTTGTATTTATTATTTTCACTTATAGTCGTCTGCTATATGAGGGGCAAGCCCACAATTGTATGCAAAGATGTTGATGTGAAAAAGCTTTGATGTTGAAAGCTTCTGTTTGTATTACACCAAATGCACACACTTTAGTGATCACTTGCTTATTGTGTTCTCTCAGATGATAAGAAAAAGCTGTGTTTGTTAAAATGGCATAAATGATAATTTTTGAAAATTTTAAATTAATTTAAATTTTATGTACATTTAGCTTTCTAAAGCTTGAACAAGCACACATTTTATTTAAATCCAGGAAAAAGTAGAAACTGTTAGACTTAAACACCGGGTCTGTTCCAGTTCTGTTCTAGTTCTGTTCTAGTTCTGTTCTAGTTCTGTTCTAGTTCTGTTCTAGTTCTGTTCTAGTTCTGTTCTAGTTCTGTTCTAGTTCTGTTCTAGTTCTGTTCTAGTTCTGTTCTAGTTCTGTTCTAGTTCTGTTCTAGTTCTGTTCTAGTTCTGTTCTAGTTCTGTTCTAGTTCTGTTCTAGTTCTGTTCTAGTTCTGTTCTAGTTCTGTTCTAGTTCTGTTCTAGTTCTGTTCTAGTTCTGTTCTAGTTCTGTTCTAGTTCTGTTCTAGTTCTGTTCTAGTTCTGTTCTAGTTCTGTTCTAGTTCTGTTCTAGTTCTGTTCTAGTTCTGTTCTAGTTCTGTTCTAGTTCTGTTCTAGTTCTGTTCTAGTTCTGTTCTAGTTCTGTTCTAGTTCTGTTCTAGTTCTAGTTCTGTTCTAGTTCTGTTCTAGTTCTGTTCTAGTTCTGTTCTAGTTCTGTTCTAGTTCTGTTCTAGTTCTGTTCTAGTTCAGTTCTAGTTCAGTTCTAGTTCAGTTCTAGTTCTGTTCTAGTTCTGTTCTAGTTCTGTTCTAGTTCTGTTCTAGTTCTGTTCTAGTTCTGTTCTAGTTCTGTTCTAGTTCTGTTCTAGTTCTGTTCTAGTTCTGTTCTAGTTCTGTTCTAGTTCAGTTCTAGTTCAGTTCTAGTTCAGTTCTAGTTCTGTTCTAGTTCAGTTCTAGTTCTGTTCTAGTTCTGTTCTAGTTCTGTTCTAGTTCTGTTCTAGTTCTGTTCTAGTTCTGTTCTAGTTCTGTTCTAGTTCAGTTCTAGTTCAGTTCTAGTTTCAGTTCTAGTTCAGTTCTAGTTCTGTTCTAGTTCTGTTCTAGTTCTGTTTTAGTTCTGTTCTAGTGTTTTTTATCCCACAATTTTGTTAATAAAAAACTTCTTTTATATTGTTAAACAAATCTTAAATATTATGGTTATTTTTGTCTTCTTATCACAGCCTATTTAAAAGGCAAACAAATCATAAAATAGTTTCTTGAGAATAAAATACAAAATCATTATTTTTCAGTTTTTTTTTGTAGCACGTTTGCCAAAACTGATACCGTTTATCAATCCAAGGCAGAGGGATTTAAAACACGGGTTGAGTGTACCCACTCAATTGATACTGCTCTAATCTAATCACAGCCATATGGGTGACATTTAAAAGACTTTAAGCAAAATAAATAATTTGTAATTATTTTGTTTAATGATCAGAGTGATTTAGTTGCTGCAAAGATTTGAAGAAAGAAGCACTGTTAAACAATATGGTGGCTGCTGAAAATATTTTAAAATCGGTGGAACATGTCAGTGAGGCATCTAAGGCGAGAATACCTTTTCCCATGAAAAGATATGCCACCGAGGGTAAAAATATACCCTTAAAGAAAAATTGGTCAGAGACCTGGTGTACTTTGTCGGCTCATTTCGAGACAGTGTGTGATCAATATTTCAATTTGGAATTGCGTAAAGATGATGTGTTTGTGGTGACTTTTATGAAATGTGGCACTACTTGGATGCAGGAATGTGCCTGGTTGTTGTTGAATAACTTGGACTATGAGAAGTCAAAAGAGGAGGTTGTGATGATCAGGAGTCCTTTCTTAGAGTGAGTGTTATATGAGAAAATTAAGTGAAACGTTATAAATTTGGAAATCATTTTAGTTTTCACAGCATTATGCCTGGTCTACTAAATCATGTAGAGTTGATTGAGAAACTTCCCAGTCCCCGTTTAATCAAATCTCATTTACCGGCCAATCTGTTGCCTCTACAAGTCTGGGAAAAGAAACAAAAGGTTAATTTTTAGACTTTAATAAACAGTCCCTATGAAAGCTTACCCTTTCCCCCAATTTCAGATCATTTATGTCGCTCGGAATGCTAAGGATGTCATAGTATCCTCCTTCCATTTCGTGAAAAACTTAGATATGTGGCGTGGTGATAATTTCCATGATTATGTTGATGACTTCCTTAATAATGAAATTATTTACACCCATTTCTGGTCACATATAGTGGACTTTTGGAAAATGCGTAATGAGCCTTTCATATTCTTTGTCACCTATGAAGAAATGAAACGTGATTTGGCAAATGTTTTGCAAAGACTTTGTGTGTTCCTAGAGAGACCTCAATTGTCAGAGAAAGAAATGGAAGGACTTTTGCAACATTTATCATTTGATAGTATGAAGAGTAAGTATTAGATCAATATCTTTAGAAAGTTATGAAATAAATTATAATCATTTTCAGAGAACAAGAAAACCAATTTGACCGATCTACTCAAAGATGACAATCCCGCAGTTAAGGAAGACTTTCAGTAAGTTTTCTTAAACCTTAACCACTAAACAATTATATACAATATTTCCATAATTAACTTCTCTTTAGATTTATGCGCCGCGGTATTGTGGGTTCCTTTAAGGATGAGCTAACCCCTGAGTTGATTGCTAAAATCGATAAATGGTCTGCTGACTTTTTGTCACAACATGGTTTAAAGGAAGAGGATATTTTGGTAAAATTTAAGTTTCAATAGTATTAATTAAACACTTTGTTAATATGTAAATTAAATTTAAGTTAAAGCAAATGAAAATAAAATCTGTGATTAAATTTCTCTAAAATTAAAAGTGACAACTTTTTGGTACAAATAGTGGTTCAATAAAGAAATGGTAAATATACCCTCCCACCAATTAAATAAGTGATTACGACTAAGTGACTATCAGAAAAGGGCTTTAGATATGAGTTACAACCAAGTATGGGCCGAACCGTATACAAATTTCACAGAATTATTTGTATATAAACACCATAAATTTGAGTAAAATTTCTTGTCCCGAAATAAATTTCAGTCAATAATTCATGAGTTTAAGAAAGGATTAAGCAGAATTTGGAAGTGCACTTTATACAGAACTTACCTATGGCCAATTATGGACCGATCCTGAAAACATTTGGCTGAGTAATATGTATATATACACAACTTACTAATACTCAATTTTGTCTCGATCTGGTGATTTGTATATAATGTTCGTTTAATTGATTTTTAGAAGTAGACTTTAGATGGGAACTATGTTTGATTATGGACCGTTAATACAACATCAATTTAGATATGTATGCTCAAAATTTTTGTGGTAATACCGATATTCTAGAGGAAATTTTGAACCGTTTTGCTATAAGTTATAGTTCTGTTCAAGTTCTGTTCTAGTTCTGTTTTAGTTCTGTTCTAGTTCTGTTCTAGTTCTGTTCTAGTTCTGTTCTATTTCTGTTCTAGTTCTGTTCTAGTTCTGTTCTAATTCTGTTCTAGTTCTGTTCTAATTCTGTTCTAGTTCTATTCTATGCTAGAGGAAATTTTGAACCAGTTTTGCTATAAGTTATAGTTTCTGTTCAAGTTCTGTTCTTGTTCTGTTCTAGTTCTGTTCTAGTTTCGTTTCTAGTCCTGTCTAGTTCTGTTCTAGTTCTGTTCGAGTTCTGTTCTAGTTCTGTTCTAGTTCTGTTCTAGTTCGTTTCTTTCTGTTCTAGTTCTGTTCTAGTTCTGTTCTAGTTCTGTTCTAGTTTCTGTTCTAGTTCTGTTCTAGTTCTGTTCTAGTTCTGTTCTAGTTCTGTTCTAGTTCTGTTCTAGTTCTGTTCTAGTTCTGTTCTAGTTCTGTTCTAGTTCTGTTCTAGTTCTGTTCTAGTTCTGTTCTAGTTCTGTTCTAGTTCTGTTCTAGTTCTGTCTAGTTCTGTTCTAGTTCTGTTCTAGTTCTGTTCTAGTTCTGTTCTAGTTCTGTTCTAGTCTGTTCTAGTTCTGTTCTAGTTCTGTTCTAGTTCTGTTCTAGTTCTGTTCTAGTTCTGTTCTAGTTCTGTTAGTTCTGTTCTAGTTCTGTTCTAGTTCTGTTCTAGTTCTGTTCTAGTTCTGTTCTAGTTCTGTCTAGTTCTGTTCTAGTTCTGTTCTAGTTCTGTTCTAGTTCTGTTTCTAGTTTCTGTTCTAGTTCTGTTCTAGTTCTGTTCTAGTTCTGTTCTAGTTCTGTTCTAGTTCTGTTCTAATTCTGTTTCTAGTTCTGGTTCTAATTCTGTTTCTAGTTCTATTCTATGCTAGATGAAATTTTGAACCGGTTTTGCTTTAAGTTATAGTTCTGTTCTTGTTTCTGTTCTAGTTCTGTTCTAGTGTGTTCTAGTTCTGTTCTAGTTCTGTTCTAGTTCTGTTCTAGTTCTGTCTATTCTGTTCTAGTTCTGTCTAGTTCTGTTCTAGTTCTGTTCTAGTTCTGTTCTAGTTCTGTTCTAGTTCTGTTTCTAGTTCTGTTCTAGTTTCTGTTCTAGTTCTGTTCTAGTTCTGTTCTAGTTCTGTTCTAGTTCTGTTCTAGTTCTGTTCTAGTTCTGTTCTAGTTCTGTTCTAGTTCTGTTCTAGTTCTGTTCTAGTTCTGTTCTAGTTTCTGTTCTAGTTTCTGTCTAGTGTTCTGTTCTAGTTCTGTTCTAGTATCTGTATTCTAGTTCTGTTCTAGTTCTGTTCTAGTTCTGTTCTAGTTCTGTTCTAGTCTGTTCTAATTCTGTTCTAGTTCTGTATCTAAGTTCTGTTCTAGTTCTGTTCTAGTTCTGTTCTAGTTCTGTTCTAGTTCTGTTCTATTCTGTTCTAGTTCTGTTCTAGT